TTAAAATAATCATCAAGAATTAAAATTAAGTAAAAAGTCTACTCAAGAAGTCATGGCCAACATTTTTACTCCCATTGACAAGATAGACAAGAATAATCAATATTTATACTCTCATTGGTAGGATGAATAGGAGTAACCAGTGTTTTTACTCCCACTAGTAGGATGAATAAGAATCTTGATACAATCAAAGACAAAACAGGCAGGTAATCATGTGCAACATAAAACCAAGACACTTTTCAAAATTAAACAGATACCTCAAGTAAAATTAACTTGGCCTGATCAATTTTTATTTAACATAATAAATGGATCTAAACAAATTCATGTCATGCCAAAATCATAAAACAAGTTTTTGTCACGCAATCATCTCAAAACATTGTAAAGCATGCTTCAAAACTTTAATTTTTAAATTCAGGACAAAACCATAAATTCACTCAACTTACCTTATAGATAAATAAGAACAATGCAAGAATAGGGGACTAAGAAGTCAAAGATGATCACGAGATCCTAAAAAAGAACAGGAGTGGAATCTCTAATCATAATCAAGACAAGCTTAACTCATAAATTCAGAATTTCATAGTGGAAATTTTATTTCTCGACAAGATATGATTTCTCTTCTTGAGGAGCTAGGATGCCAGCCTTCTCTTTTAACGTATGATAGACAAAATCATTCACCTTAATAGCACCCAATTACGTTTTTTTGGTATTAATCTCTCGATATTTGGTAATTATACTGAATTTCAATTAATCTGGAATCGAATCACATCGGACCCATAGCAAAAAAACTCTCTCAGTGCATATTTTTTTATTTATAATAGTCAAACTTGAGACCTTATTTAAAGAAAACTGAACTATTTCCACTCGTATCAACAAGTCGTTAATAACATCCAACTATGTTAATTCCTTGATATTTATTCGTTTCTTGAATATTCATATATGTAAGCAGAACCTTATAAATTTCATTAAATCCATCTCGTCTTAACTTTCACATATTTGTTTAAAAGGTACATAATCTCCCATTTTACTGTCACTAATCAACCAAGCTACAACATACATTTAAATGCTTATTTTCTATCTAATATTTAACCCTTTTTTCCTCTTTAGCAGCCAAATAGAAAAACTAAGACTACATGCTCAGCAACCAACGCCACCCAACAGCAACCCTTATTTCCCTTTATATCGTACAGAGTTATTTATTTATTTATTTGTTTATTATTATTATTTCCTGCAAATAATATTTTTAATAAAATTATTTTTATATTATTTTATTAAGAATATTTTAATAAATCAATAATTCGGAATGCAGTTAAGTACAGAGGTAAATCATGTATAGCATCTCCTAAGAACTTTAGACACAACAAAGAACATCGCAGCAGCAATTTAAAGGACTAGAATTCGGACTTAAAGGGCTGTTGACATGCCAAAATTTTCTGCTGTGCGAAGTCCAGATCTGGTGACTCTGGAAACTCAGCAAAACGAAAAAGGAAACTACTCAAAGCCGCCCAAAATCGAGAGGAATTAATGAAGTAGTAGAGTCAGCCCAATTAAATTTAGAGATGGATGGGATGAATTCATAGCTGATTTCTTACCAGAAAAATTGGAAAAGAATACCCAATACAGCAGAAAGTCACGGACTGGGATGCAGGACAGCGGCTATTAGTTCTGCAAATTTCTCTTAAATTCTCAGATTGTTAAAGCGGTTTTTGATTCCCAAAACTCGTTCTTTAAAGAGAAGAGGAAGGGAAAATCAAGTTCTTACCTTGATTTGGAGAAGAAAGTGTATTGTAGGACTTCACAAGGGTTTAAGAATGGTAGGAGAGGATAAAATGCACGGAGGGTTTAAGTTCTTAGTATTTTAATCCAAACACAATTCTACATCCCTAATCCTTTAACCCCCCAAGATTGAAGAACTAGGCAACTAGGACCTCTAATAAAAACTCATCTTAATTAAGTCATCTCTTTGCTAATTAATTTATTATTATTATTATTATTATTATTATTATTTACCGTTAATTATTTCACAAAGCCTTCTTGAGAATCTAGATACTTAAAAAAAATTTAGGGTGTTACAATAGATATCTAAATCTAAAATATGCTTCGATATGTAAAATACATTTAAATTTCTACAATGGACTTATTGTTTTTTATGTATATCTAAATTATGATGTTAGTTTGAGAGATAAGAACCTACATAAAAGCTTAATTATAAAAATACAAACAAAAAATATTAATAAGTGAAATGGTAGCGAAAACCTATCAGTACATTATTGAATAATGTATAGATTGGTAAATATTACAAATCCTAAGTTTAGATAAGAATCTACTTATGCAAAGTAAAACACTTCATCCACAAAGACTAATCCCCAAGACATTGGCATGGAGAGATCTCACATTTCCAACTAAATGGTTTTTAGAAGGAAAACCTAGAGCATCAACTTTAAAACCTAGTAAAAACCTAGAATTAGCTGTAATATCTAATGAAAGAATGATAATTATAAATCCAGAAAAAGAAGGAAAGGATAATAAAGTATTAAGATTCAAAGAAGTTAAGCTACCTTTGAAAGAAATAGTATCTCTGGTACAAGAGTATGATTAATGCTAAAGTGGTTAAGAAAAAAAAACCCTATTATCAAAGCTTGATTAATGGAACAATATTTAAGAAAATAAGTACAAATAAAATCAATCTATGAATACCGTGAGGAAGAAACAAGAAAAAAAAACACCCAATAAAGTCTATCAAAACCTCTAGAAACAGTTCATATATAAAATTTAAGTTTGAATTTAATCAATACCACAAAAATTTACTTTAATATATTACCTCAAATTG